TGCAGGGGTCCCTGGTGCAGGAGGTCCCTGGGTGCAGGGGTCCCTGGGTGCAGGAGGCCTCTGGGTGCAGGAGGCCCCTGGGTGCAGGAGTCCCTGGGTGCAGGAGGCCCCTGGGTGCAGGAGGTTCCCGGGTGCAGGAGGTCCCTGGGTGCAGGGGTCCCTGGTTGCAGGGGTCCCTGGTGCAGGAGGCCCCCGGGTGCAGGGGTCCCTGGTTGCAGGAGGTCCCTGGGTGCAGGGTCTCCTTTGGCACGAGGGGCTCCCCGAGCAGGGTGTCCAGCAGCCCTGTCCCTGCTCACCCGTGCCGCGTTGCTTGCAGCACCTGCACGTCCGGGCGGATGGTGTGCGGCACGGAGCCGTGCCCAGGTACCCTGTGTGGCCGCGGCAGAGCCCCGGCCGCGGCGCGGGCAGGGGGTGGGCGGGCGCAGCGGGGCGCCCCGGGCTGCAGCGGGTCCTGCCGCCCCGCAGGGCACTGCAGCTGGGGCGGCTGGACGGCGTGGAGCGCCTGCAGCCGCAGCTGCAACGTGGGCATGCGCCGGCGGTACCGCGACGCCTCCGGGGGCCGCGACTGCCCGGGCCCCCGCGTCCAGCTGGATTTCTGCATTGTGCAGCCGTGCCGCGGTGAGCGGGCGGGAGGACGGGGGCACGGGGGTGCCCGGGTACATCCTGAGCGCCGCTGTGTGCAGGTGCTGCAGCCGAGTGGGGACCCTGGTCCGAGTGCTCGGTGTCCTGCGGCGGCGGCTTCCGCAACCGCACGCGCCCCGGCGCCCGCCCCGCCGGCCTCCAGTTCAGCCCCTGCAACGTCGCCGCCTGCCCCGGTGAGCCCGGATGGCCGGCCTGCTGCGAGCTGCGGGAGCGGGGGACATCGCGGCGTGACAGGGATGCGCAGGGGGACATCCCGGGGTGACAGGGATGTGTGGTGCTGCATGGCACTGCACGTGCTGCGCATGGCACAGCATGCTGTGCATTGCTCTGCACACCCATACATGGCCCTGCACACCCCATGCATGGCACTGCACGTGCTTCATGTGCTGTGCATGTCACAGCATGATGTGCATTGCTCTGCACACTTGTGCACGGCCCTGCATGCCCTGTGCACAGCTCTGCACACTGTGCATGGTGCAGCATGGTGTGCATTGCTCTGCACACTTGTGCACGGCCCTGCACGCCCTGTGCACAGCTCTGCACACTCTGTGCATGGCGCAGCATGCTGTGCATTGCTCTGCACACTTGTGCATGGCCCTGCACGCCCTGTGCACAGTGCTGCACACTCTGTGCATGGCACAGCATGCTGTGCATTGCTCTGCACACCTGCACATGGCCCTGCACGCCCTGTGCACAGTGCTGCACACTCTGTGCATGGCGCAGCATGCTGTGCATTGCTCTGCACACTTGTGCATGGCCCTGCACGCCCTGTGCATGGCTCTGAACACTCTGTGCATGGCGCAGCATGCTGTGCATTGCTCTGCACACCCATGCGTGGCCCTGCACGCCCTGTGCACAGTGCTGCACACTCTATGCATGGCGCAGCATGGTGTGCATTGCTCTGCACACTTGTGCATGGCCCTGCACGCCCTGTGCATGGCTCTGCACACTCTGTGCATGGCGCAGCATGCTGTGCATTGCTCTGCACACCCGCGCGTGGCCCTGCACGCCCTGTGCACGGCTCTGCACACTCTGTGCACGGTGCTTTGCAGCCCAGCACCCCCAACTCTCTGTCCGTCCCCTAGGCGCGGCGCCGGGCGCCTGTCCTGCTGGCAAGGTGTGGAAGGAGTGCGCCGAGGGGCCGGGCGCCTGCGCCGAGCTGAGCGCCAGCGCCGCCGCCAACGGCAGCTGCCGCGTGGGCTGCTTCTGCCCGCCGGGCGCTGCGCTGCTGGTGAGCGCCGCGCCGCGGGCCCCGTGCCCCCGCCACGGACACCCCTCGTGCCACCACCCGCCGCCGCGTGTCCCTGCAGAACGGCGAGTGCGTGGCCGAGGCCGAGTGCCCCTGCGCCGTGGCGGGCGAGCTCTACCCGCCCGGGGCCGCCGTGTCCCGCGGCTGCCACAACTGGTGAGTGCGGCCGTGGCGGGGTCGGCACCGCCGGAGCCTCGCCATGCATCGTGCCCGCTCTGCCCATGCAGCTCCTGCATCGCCGGGCGCATCGCCAACTGCTCCCGGGCGGCGTGCGGTGACGGTGAGCGCGGAGCGGCCCCCGTGCGGGGGGAATTGCGGTGTCCCCCGCCACGGCCGCGGTGATCCCTGTGGTGCTGCCCGGCAGGGAGCGGGCGCTGGTCCCCCTGGACGCCCTGGAGCGAGTGCTCGGCCTCGTGCGGGCCGGGGCTGCAGCGCCGGTACCGCTTCTGCACGGCGGCGCCCTGCGCGGAGCCGGGGCCGCAGCCGGACGAGCGCCCCTGCGTCCTCGAGCCCTGCTCCCGTGAGTGCCGCGGGCTGCACCGCGCGGCGAGGGGCTGCACGGGCACGGCATCACCTCCCGGGCATGCACGTGCTGGCCACGGGTGCATGCATCATCCTCCGTGCGTGCAGTGTCCAGCCATGGGCACACGCATCGGCTTCCTTGCGTGCACGTCCCTGCTGCAGGAACATGCATCGTCTCCCATGCATGCTCATCATCTCCCATGCATGCTCATCCTGGCTATGGGCTCATGCATCATCTCCCGTGCATGCATGGCCCTGCTGCAGACATGGGCATCATAGCCCATGCATGCATGGTCCACATGCATCATCCCTGCACTTGCAGAGCCCAGCTGCGGGCACATGCATCGCCTCCCTTGCTTGCTTAGAAACGAGGTGGGGGGCTGCAGGAACGGGGCGGGGGTCACGCGCCCCACACGCCGTGGGGCTGAGGGTCCCTGTCCCCGTGCAGGGCCGGGCGGCTGGGGCGCCTGGAGCGCCTGGAGCGGCTGCAGCCGGAGCTGCGGGCAGGGCGTGCGGAGCCGCAGCAGGGCCTGCAGCAGCCCCCCGCCGCAGGGCCAGGGCGACTTCTGCGAGGGGGCCCCGCTGCAGGTGGAGGCCTGCAACGCCCACGGGTGCCCGGGTGAGCGCGCGCGGCGGGGCGGCGCGGCGCCGGGTGCCGGTGCAAGGCGCTGACCCCGCTCCGCAACGCCCGCAGCCACGGACTGCGCCGCCGTGCCGGGCTCCGCGTACAGCCGCTGCGGCCCGCGCTGCCCCCGCTCCTGCGACGACATCACGGTGAGCGCGGCGTCCCCGCGGTGTCCCCGCGTGTCCCCATGGTGTCCCCATGGTGTCCCCATGGTGTCCCCGCGTGTCCCCATGGTGTTCCCGCGGTGTCCCCGCGTGTCCCCACGTGTCCCCGCGTGTCCCCATGGTGTCCCCATGGTGTCCCCACGTGTCCCCGCGTGTCCCCACGTGTCCCCACGTGTCCCCGCGTGTCCCCAGTGTCCCCACGGTGTCCCCACAGTGTCCCCACGTGTCCCCGCGTGTCCCCACGTGTCTCCGCGTGTCCCCACGGTGTCCCCACGGTGTCCCCACGTGTCCCCGCGCGTCCCCACGTGTCCCCGCGTGTCCCCACAGTGTCCCCACGGTGTCCCCACGTGTCCCCGCGTGTCCCCACGTGTCYCCGCGTGTCCCCGCGTGTCCCCACGTTGTCCCCGCGTGTCCCCACAGTGTCCCCACGTGTCCCCGCGTGTCCCCACAGTGTCCCCACGGTGTCCCCACGTGTCCTCACGTGTCCCCACGTGTCCCCACGTGTCTCCGCGTGTCCCCACGTGTCCCCATGTCCCCACAGTGTCCCCACGTGTCCCCACAGTGTCCCCACGTGTCCCCGCATGTCCCCGCGCGTCCCCGCGCTCACGTCCCCACGCTCACGTCCCCGCGCTCACGTCCCCCGCCACAGCTCTGCGCCTGGCGCTGCGTGCCCGGCTGCTACTGCACGGCGGGCAGGGTGCTGGACGCGCGCGGGGCGGCGTGCGTGGAGCCGCGGGCATGCAGCTGCCTGCACCTGCCCAGCGGGCAGCGCTACCCGCCCGGCCACACCGCGGCCCGCGGCGACGGCTGCAACAACTGGTGAGCGCGAGCGGCGCGGCGACGCGCGTGCGGAGGGCACAGGGCGCGGACGGGGATGGGGGTGAGAGGGGGACCGGGGTGCGGGTGGGGATGGGGAGGAGCAGGAGGGTGGGGAATGTGCAAAGGGATGGGGAAGGGGTTGGGATGGGGATGTGGAAAGGGATG